CCGAGAAGGAACCAGGCTGCTGGCACTTAAAATCAAAAAGGTGGCAGAGCAGCTTTTAAACTGAATATTGGGGGAAAGCCGACAGGAGATGAAAAGTCTCTGGTTCGGGTTGGCTCATCTGAGAGAGGTGAGGGGGTACCGGTTGCTTTTCTACAGGGAGGTGGATTGAAATTGTCCACAGAGGCCATGGCTGGTGACATGGACTGCCGGACAACGACTCGAGATAGCAAGAGGAAGGATGCAGGCTTAACTTGTAAGGGAAATTACAGCTGTTTCTATACAAATGCTAGAAGTGTCCGAGGTAAAATCGGGGAGTTGGAGTGCTTGGTGTCGGAGGGAAAAATAGACATTGTGGGTATTTCTGAAACTTGGTGGGATGAGGAAAATCAGTGGGACACAGTGATTCCCGGTTATATATTATATCGGAAGGATAGGGGGGGAAGGGTTGGAGGTGGGGTAGCTCTGTATGTCAGAGAGGGTATAAAGTCTAGAAAGATTGAGAGGCTAAGTGAATTGGATTCGCTTCTGGAAGTTCTATGGGTTGAAATAGGGGGGCCAAAAGGAAACTTAACACTGGGAGTTTGTTATCGCCCACCAGATCAAAAGATAGAGGAGGATTATAAAATGATGAATGCCTTAAAGATAGCAACTAGACAAAAACACTGTGTAATAATAGGTGATTTTAACTACCCACACATTGATTGGGTCAATATGTGTTCTAGCCGGGAAAAAGAGATTGAGTTTCTAGACACTCTAAATGACTGTGCTATGGAGCAGATGGTCACGGAACCTACCAGGGGAGAGGCGATCCTTGATTTGGTCCTAAGTAACACTCAAGACCTGGTGAGAGATGTAAAAGTGATTGCACCGCTTGGAAACAGTGATCATAATGTTGTTGAGTTCATCATTTGTACAAATAGAGAATTGGCCAAAAAGACTCACACAACCATTTTTAACTTTAAAAGGGGTAAGCCTTTGATTTTTTGTACCTAAGTGTAGGTCTTTGCACTTCTCTCTATTGAAATTCATTTTATTTGTCTCAGCCCACTGTTCCAGCCTATCTAGATCATTTTGAATCCTGACTGTCTTCTTCAGAATTAGCAATCCCACCTAGCTTTGTGTCATCTGCAAATTTGATAAGCACCCCCTCTATGTCTTCTTCCATGTAATTTATAAAAACATTGAACAACACCGGGCCTAGGAACGAGCCCTGCGGCACTCCACTTGAGACTTCCGTCTACGTAGCTGCAGAGCCATTTACGAGCACTCGTTGGGTACGATTTTTTCAACCAACCATGAATCCATCCAACGGTTGCACCATCCAGCCCACACTTAACCAGCTTATTCTCAAGGATATCATGAGAAACTTTGTCAAATGCTTTACTGAAATCTAGATACACTATATCCACAGCATTGCCAGAGTCAACCCTTTTGGTAACTCTGTCAAAAAAGGAGATAAGGTTGGTCTGGCATTACTTATTCTTGATAAACCCATGCTGGCTACTACCAATTAACTCATTCCATTCAAGGTGCTCACAGAGCACTTAATAATCTGCTCTAGAATTTTCCCAGGTATTGATGTCAAGCTGACAGGCCTGTAATTTCCCAAGTCTGTCTTTTTTCTCTTAAAGATTGAGACAACATTTGCTCTTTTCCAGTCTTCTGGCACAACACCAGTACTTCAGGACATCTCAAAGATTAGACCCAAATTTAGTGCTTCTAGATAGTTTACATTTTTAAACACTGTAGGGGCAAGTCCAATCCTCTTTTCAGCAGTCCATGATTCTCGCTCTTGGAGATGATGGATTTCATTTTGTGCTGTTAGACCCATCTCCATTGCAGAGTTGGCTGTATTGGAGACCTGCTGAAGGGTTTTTTGAATGGCTTCTAGTTGTGTGTCCAGAGGTTGTAATTTGCATCAAAGTGTTCCATAATTTCAATTTCTAGGGATTGTAATGATTGTAACAAGTCTGGTTTATCAGTTATATCTTCAGTGTCGTAGTGAGGGATCTGTTTAGCGGCCATTCTCTGGGGCGCCAATGCCATTAGTGTTTGAGGGAAAGTTGTTTTGGATCCAGTCTTTTTTTTAAAAAAAACTCTTTTACCGACGTGTCTTTTGTATTTTTCAGTGAGGTTTTATCTCTGCTGTCATTTTTCATGACCAAATATCATTAAATAATAGAAAGAGTCACATTAAAAGATGTTAAATGTCAGGCCAAATGCCTATCCAGTCCAACACTCTGTGTCACACAGTGACCAGAAATACCAGTGCCATCAGGAGGTCCACCAGTGGGGCCAGGACATTAGAAACCCTCCCACTGTTGGCCCCCCCCAAGCACCAAGAAGACAGAGTATCACTTGCCCCAGAGTCCCTATCTATACCTTGTGGCTAATAGCCACTGATGGACCTCTGCTCCATATGCCTATCTAATTCCCTTTTGAAGCCGTCCATGCTTGTAGCCGCCACCACTTCCTGTGGCAGTGAATTCCATGTGTTAATCACTCTTTGGGTGAAGAAGTACTTCCTTTTATCCGTTCTAACCCGACCGCTCAGCAATTTCATGGAGTGCCCATGAGTTCTTGTATTGTGAGAAAGGGAGAAAAGTACCTCTTTCTCTACCTGTTCTTTCCATGCATAATCTTATAAACCTCAATCATGTCACCCCTCAGTCGTCTTTTCTCCAAGCTAAAGAGCCCTAAGCGCTTTAACCTTTCATCATAGGGAAAGTGTTCCAACCCTTTTATCATTCTAGTTGCCCTTTTCTGCACTTTTTCCAAAGCTATAATATCCTTTTTAAGGTGTGGTGACCAGAACTGCACACAGCATTCCAAATGAGGTTGCACCATACTTCTAAATCAAAACTTTATATATGTGACTACTGAATACTGTGATACTCTCATTCATTAACCTTTAAAATTAGATAAAGACAAACATTTACTTTATCAACTAATTAAAAATGATAGAGAATACTTTTTTTGTTGTATAGCTTGGATATAACTATCTTCTGCATGTAGTAGAAATTGCAAAATAAAGCTTAAATAAAGCCTGAAAATAAAACTTTTTATTGTTGTATATTTTGAATACAACTGTCTTCTGCATGGAATAGAAATTTCAAAATAAAGCTTACACTACTTGTTAAGTTAAATTCTAAGCAGTAGCATTAAATTAGCCCTTTAAAAAGATTTAAAATATCTTTCATTAGTTAAAGATAATTGGTCAATACAGATTGATTGTTAAGAGGGAATTGGTTGAAATAGATCACTGTCAGGTCTTTTCGCTTACTTAGAAAGGAGTCCTAAGATGTTGTAGGGTGTGGGTCCCTAGTGTTTTTGAGGCTACAGGCATCTTTTGAACCCTGATATAGAGTGGTGGGTGCAACCACTGAATGACTGCCTCGGGATGTGGAGCCAACCACAAAATGTCAGGTTATGCATAATTCTAATACTAATTTTTCAACATTCCAGGCAGATCTGTTTAACAGGATGCCTTTTAAAATGAGTTTATCATTTAAAAATAGTTTCTTGCATGCACACTGCTTACCTTCAGACATGCAATGAAGATCTTTATGCTTTAGTGACAGCTGCTGCTGAAGAAAATTTTTAAATACCTGCACAATCAACGGGAATTCCAATGGCCAATCAGAAGACCTGCTGGACAACAGCCCTACTTTGCCTCACCTACTTTCTAAAAAAATACTTGACAAGTGCCAGAAAGGTGTTGGCAAGTGCCATGGTTTCCATATTGGAAATCCCTGCTATAGGAATTCTTACTAGAGATGTAGGGAAGAGAAAAATGGGAAAGAGAAAATGGGATCTGAAAGAGGCTTCTGATGCTGCACCAATATCTGGTAATACAATTGTTGCAATTATAGAGGAACTGAGGGTCTCATCAGACTAGTATCTGGGCGACCCAGATTTGAATCCACAGTCCCACTCGTGCCATGGAAGCTTGCTGGGTGACCTTGGGCCAGTCACACTCTCTCAGACTAACCTACCTCACAGGGTTGCTGCAAGGATAAAATGGAGGAAAGGAGAACAATGTAAGCTGCTTTGGGTTCCCATTGGGGATAAAGGTGGGGCAGAAATGAATTAAATAAAAAAATACAGTAGGTAGTTGAATATCTTGGAGACAGAGCAGTGAGAGTTGAAAAGGGAGATTATAAAGAGCATCTCTGACCCATTGCTTATGAACTGTATCTGAAGAAGTGTGCTTGAAAACGTGGGGGGGAAGCGTGGCTATTTGCACCGTCGCATTCTGATGTGCCATTATGTGATCAGACGCGATAGCGGCTCCCCCCTGGCAAAGAGGATGACGGGGTAGAAAGCCACACGCCGGCGCGATCACACCCAGGGAGTCCGCATGTAGCCCGTGGCAAACCATTTGCCGGTAGGTCGTCCCAGGGACTTTTTAAATGGGAGGCCACGGGTTTGCCACGGGTGTGCTACGCCTCCCAGATGTTCCGGTGTGATTGCGCCTGGAAAATCCGCGGGACTATCGTGCCTTCAGCACAGCAAATGATCCGTGTGAACGGGGCCAAAGTTTATACCTTGAATAAAACTTTGTTGGTCTTTAAGGTGCCACTGGACTCAGATTTTGTTCTGCTGCTTCAGACCAACATGGCTACCCACCTGAATCTATCTCCATTACTCATTAGTGTGAGGACAGTGGCCCCTTAACATTGTACTTCTCTCAAATGTGTAAGCAGGCAGGCAGAGCTTTCATTTAGATTCCACCTTATTTACAAGTTTCCCTTGAATATGTTTTATATTACTTCCAGATCAGTTTTTCTGCAAAAAAGCTAGGTGATTTCTGGCTGCAATGAACTGTGCACAGGAATTTTTTGTGATTATATAAAAACATAATTTAAGGTTCAGTACATTAAAATATTCTTGAATATATATGCTCTAGTTTCTGTCTTACTTAAGTATTTCCTTTAGAAACTAACAATTTACATAAGTGTAAATGTAAATTCATTGACAGCTTTTCCCTTCATTACTAGGATCTCGTCTTCGTCAGGAAGACTTTCCACCTCGAATTGTAGAGCATCCATCTGATGTGATTGTTTCTAAAGGAGAGCCAACAACTCTGAACTGTAAGGCTGAAGGAAGACCATCTCCTACTATTGAGTGGTACAAAGATGGTGAACGTGTGGAGACTGATAAAGATGACCCCCGCTCACACCGCATGCTGCTCCCTAGCGGATCTTTATTTTTCTTGCGTATTGTACATGGGCGCAGAAGTAAACCAGATGAAGGAAGTTATGTGTGTGTTGCAAGAAATTATCTGGGGGAAGCTGTGAGTCGGAATGCTTCTCTGGAAGTAGCATGTAAGTAATCTATAAACATTTTATAAATGTATGACTTCATAAGTGGTGCCAAACTAATAGATTAAATGTATGGGAATGTGTAAAAGAAAGTTTGCTCATCAGTCTTTCTGTGTGTATCTAGTCGGTGCAACGACCATACAAAATGTATAATTTGCACAAAGATACTTATGCTGGGATGCAGGTAACCACGATTTACACCAGCATGGAAGAAGTCTAATCTTTCCTTCAGATATAATTTCGTTTTAAAATTAAAACTGAAAGTTTTGCTGCAACTATTTTTTTAATCTATTGCTTGATATTTTGGATACTGTCAATTTATTATTTTTTTAAAATCAGTACAGCTATTACTTCTACAAGAACAGTCAGCTTTCAGGTTACTCATGTACTGTTGGAACCCTCAAAGTCTCCAGCAGGGTCCTTTCAAAAGCTTGAACCTAGGTCGCCTTCATTATGGGTGTAGCGTGCAAAACTCTTGATTGAGATATTATGGATGGCTTTGTTTTTATTGATTGCCTTTTTGTAATATTGAGGCATCACAGATGTTTGGATAGCAATTTTTTGCATTGTGGAATAATCAGTTCAGGAAAACAAATCAAGGCAGATTTGTTTGTATTTGTACCCTACACATTATAATAGACGTACTATAATACTGTTTTCTCCTTTGCCGTTAATGGTTTTTACAGTCAAGTCAGGCTGAACTCTGTTAAATTCTATTGATTTTCCCCCTTAAATTAGGGATGTGTTTAATTCTCTGTCTAGTTGAAACTATGGGTATTACATTTGTTTACTTTAGAGTGGATGTTCCCCTGTGTGAGTGCGATATGTCTTAATAATATGTCTTAATAATATTTGCTTGGAGCTATGTTCTGGTTACCTTTTGTAATAGGAATGCTAGTAGTTAATTTGAAATTGACATATAAATTTTAAGTGGAACACAACACATTGCAAAAAAACTTTATGTCATGTTATGGTTTTTGTTACTGCTGCATCTGAAAATATGACATTTAAAGAAATACTTGTAAGTTGAATATTAATTTTTAATTATGCAGTTGATTTTGTCCTGGTTTTACTGAGTATTTTGGAAGCTGATCTCATGGCCCATATTTGTTCTATGGGATGTGGTATAAATACAAGCAAAATAGGTAAATATACTGATCATGGATTCATAGAGGTCACAACTAGGAGTGCTGTGGTAATGTGGCTAGTTTGATTACAAAATGAACACTGTAGATCTGCAGGTGCAGTCATTTATTCAGAACCAAACCAGAACCATTTTTCTATCAGAATCTTTTTTTCTTTTAAGAGCAGAAAGAAACTGTTTAAGTTTAATGTAGTTATTGATTGGTCTATACATCTGTCGAATGTTGTGTACCGCCCTGAGCCCTTTGGGGAGGGCAGTCTATAAGATAAATAATAATGGTGGTGGTGGTAGTGGAAAGTCATTCTAGTTGCCCTTTTCTGCACTTTTCCCAATGCTATAATATCCTTTTTGAGGTGTGGTGACCAGAACTGTACACAGTACTGCAAATGAGGTCACACCATTGATTTATACAGGGGCATAATGATACTGGCTGACAGTTGGCAGTATTAACATTAACAGTTGCTGTTTGCACCTAGAAATCCATTCATCCACACAGATGCAAAATATGACAATGTCTTTGTCTTCTCCTGAGTTCGCTAATCCTGTCAGCCTCCCCTCACCTTTTCATACCCACATTTATTTCATAACAGCTCCCCTCTTCTCCACCTAACACTAAAGGAGGGTGACCAGACAGCATTGTTTAAGCAATCAGAGTTTCAACTAGGGGTGTTTAAAAAAAATTCTGGTATTTTTCGGCTTCAAGTAAATCAGACCAGAAAAATATCAGTAACTGCCAAATTTCCCCAGTCCAATACCAGTAAAATATTTGGACTGGGGAAATATTCGGTATTTGGTTCTCCAAGATATGGGATCATTTTATTATGGACAAGGTGGCAGATAGTATTTATAACTTAGATCCGGATATGTTATTTGATAATGTTTAGGTTAAGCATTGTTATTTATTGAAGTTCTTGTATTATTTCTATAATGTTTACTTTTTTCTTTTTGTTATTGTAATTGAAAAGTTAATAAAAGTTTATTAAAATTACAAAATTGGAAGGATTATAGAATATTGTTTAAAATATAAGAATTAGGGGAAATTGTTATAAACTGTTCTTCTGATGGTATTATACACTGGAGAGAATAGCAGTGATCTCAGGAGAATCAACCCTGTGTTGGCAATGTACTAAAGAGAAATGGACATTATTTCATAAGTGGTGGCAACGTGCTGCGGTTGAGATATTCTGGAATACAGTACATAGAAATATTGAGGAAATGATAGATTAGAAATGTCAATGTTTTCTGATATTTATTAGGTGGCCTTTTAGAAATAATGAAAAAGGAGCATAGAAGTCTGGTAATGAACTTTTATTCATTTTTGTTTTATTTATTTAGTTCATTTATACCTCACCTGTCTCCCCAATGGGAACCCAAAATTGCTTACATCGTATTCTTATCCCAACAACCCTGAGAATTAGGTTAGGCTGAGAATGTGTGAGTGGCTCAAGGTCACCAACAAGCTTCCATGGCAGACTGGGAATGCAAAACTGGGTTTCCTAGATCCTAGTCCAACATGTTAGCCACTGCACTATGCTGGCTCTGTCTAATTTAACAACTGCAACAAGAATGACAGTAGCATAGATATAAAGACACGGAGTTATGCCAGGGATAACAGAATAGTTTCAAAGAACATGGCAAATGATGTTAATTGATAGGATGACAACTTGCAAATACATGCAAGAAAGGAAGAAATGGTCACACATCAATTATAGCAAGAATTGATCTCCATTAATTGAATACTGGGATAAGAATAAATCATTGGATTGAGTTAGAGAGGCAGAATAGGAGTATATTTAATAAAAGAAAAAAATAAAATAATGATATAAGGTATAGAAATAGTAAAAATGTGTAAATAATTGTGGTATTTTAAAAAGTATTCTGTATATTTCTAGTTTATAATAATAAGTACACACACAAAAATCCACATAATTATGTCATGTACAGAGAAGGGGCATGTTTGGAGAAAAATACAAAAGTTACAAAAAAAGATGTTGGGGTTGAAATTCCCACAAATTAGGTAATGCTGACTGGGATCACAAGAGATCTCACAGCCATCACTGTGAGGTTTCCTAGTTACCAAAGCACTAGAGCCTAGGCAATCCTGGCAGCAGTGCTTGGGACAGGAACACAAAGTGGAGAGTAGGACAAGCTAGAGAAAAAAGTTAGGAAGACAGAGAGTGTAACAAAGAATGGGAGGAGGTCTGGAAAAACAAGAGGGAGAGGAATATGTTTACGCGTGTGTGAAAAAAGGCTGCAAAGAGATAGGAAACAGGACAACTGGGGGGAGTGGTAAAATGGTGTGTGTGTGGGAAGCCTGGAAAAGAGAAACATGGGGGGGGGGAGAAACAGAAGGAGGGAGAGGGTAGAGAGGAAAAGAGGGGGTTGAGAAGACTGATATGATGGGGGCCATTGTTTAGGGATATGATTTTCCTCCCTTGAAATTATTGTGGGTCCTAGCTTTTCACAGACCATATGGGAAAAGGTGTTCCTGGAAAAGTGTTCTGAACACTTCAGCTCAAGTTTCTTAATGATTTTCAGAGCTATCTACTCCTTTTTAGTTTAGCTTCCCTCTAGCTGGTTCTTCTTCTTAAAGCTAATATATTAATCACCAAGATACAGAATTGGAAGGTTTTTGTTTTGAATAATAAACTTGGAGCAACTGGTTATTCTTAAATTAAAAAGTACTTTATTGAATTGGATATCTCTGATTTCTTCTACAGTGACTTCAGTGAGTCTGCAGTTACGATGTGCAGTCTCCTGAAATAAGTTTTTAAACACCGCAGCTGTTGGCAGGTCATGTGTGAACTGAAAGTCAGATTAAAAAAACACCCTTAAATTGTTTTTTAAAAGTTGGTTTCTTTGACAGTTTTTTTAAAGGATCACAAAATCTGAAATCCAAGACTGAAACCATAGAAAGAGTTTTGAAATGGCATCATATACCTAACACTAGATCATCTTACTTGTTTTTTTATAGCTTTGAAGTTTAATAGGCTCCAATTAAACTCTTTGAGGCTTGCAGGGAAGATTTCTATTAAGCTCTCTTTGTCTTTCCTTAACCCAAAACAGGGGTATATTTGTGTTAGATACACAACTTGAGACTGATAAGATGGAATTTAAAAACTGCAAACTAATGTGACATGAAGGTAGAATATGTGTGCAAGAGTACTCCTATAAATTAAATTGATTTTAGTGAGGTTGTAGGGAGGACACTGGTATGAATAATAAGTTGTATGTATAATAGCAGGAAGACTTTGCAACTAAGGAATAGGCTAGCTTTTTGGTTACCACCAAAGCATATCAGGAGAAAAACCTTGGATTGCACTGGTTGCTAGCAAACTGGAACTGGAAAATACAGTTTACCTTGCTGACTTCTTGCATTTCTTAGTGTGGCAGTCCAGAAGGACCAACAAACTGTACACCTTCCCCCAGCCCCTTCTGCAAAGTCTTCATAGTTCTTGAATATACTGTGGATAGCCATCATATTTAGTGTAATATTTCTGATAACAAATTTATTAATACCCTATAAACTAATTTGGCCAATGAACTGGAGGAAACCTACTATTCCTGTGATTCAAAAGTACCTTAGGAGATATTTGAACTAATTCCATGTAATACCTTTTATTAAGGCCAACCAGATTGACACAAAACATTGTGATAGCCAGAGGTCATTTCGTAGAAAAAGAGGTGCAGGAGCTCATTAGCATAACTCATTAGCATAACTCATTTGCATATTCCACACCCCCTGTCACCCCCTGTCAGAAGGCAACACCCACCACTCAGGCTCCAGTGGACTGTTTTGGATTGCTAGCTATTGGGGAGGGAACGTGCAGATCTGTCCTCACAGAGGAGGGAGAGCTTG